CCAGGTATGTGAGGGCGGCCGGATCGGCGCCCCAGAGCGCCTCCTGGAGGCCTGGGACCAGCCGCCTCCAAATGCTGTCCTCAGGCCGGGGCGCCCCTTAACTGTGAGGCTCTCAAAGTCACCCACAGTGTCCCCCTTTCCTCATGCACACACCTCAAGCCCCAATTCCCCTCCAGCATCTCGGATACCAGGGACCCCGAATGTTACCCTGGCTGAGTTCTCCCTTATGCCTCAGTCACCCCCCAGATGTCACTAGCTCAAGACCCCAGGTCCCAGTTATCTCTGAACGCCCGGCGTTGCGCTCGGGGTCAGCCTGCACCACCACCACCTGAGGTTGGGGTCCATCCCCCCTTGGCCCTGGGAATCATGACTCCATCTAGGTCCCTCCAGAAAAGCTTACCCTGTCAACACATCGGCCCCCAAAAGTCAGTCCCCTCTAGTCCAGGGTTTCTTTTGGTCACTCCCCCCCTCCCCAGGACACCCCTCAAGGTCACCTTCCCACACCCAAGGCAGCCTCCACCCTGGTAACTAAATTGCCACCTTCCTCGGAACTGGTGCAGAGGGGATGGGACCCTGTGAGGCCAGGAGCATGGGGGCCAGTAAACTGGGGCTGATTCAACCTCCTCACCCAAAACGCCGGAACTCCAGGGATGAAAGGCAAGAGTCACAAACCACCAGACCTTCAGAAATAAGGCGGGGCAGGTTTTATTTAATTGGACACTAAACACAACACACAGCACAGATCGCCCCAAGCCTGTGTCTGCCCCTGGCAGAGGTGGGGAAGGGGCGCCCTGGGCCAGCCTGACCCCCTGGAGCTTCACACTGCTCTTCCATGCTCTGGGGCCTCCCCAGGACTGAGCAGGCCTGCTCGTGTCCTTCTGGTCCTCCACAGGGGCCTCATTCCCACCCTGTGTGCCAGTGGGTGTCACGGCGCCTCCCTCAAGACAGGAAGCTGCAGAACCCAGGTGGAAGGGGTCAGGCACGTTCGCGTCAGACCAGTCTGGTTCCGGAAGTCTGGAGTTGGCATTTAACGGTCTGAGGGCCCAAGGCAGTTTCCTCTTGGGTAACTGGCTGCTGGGAAGGTGTGGCCCAGCCGGTGCCCCCACCAGGCTTGGGAGAGGAGGGGCCGAGGCTCCAGGCCCAGAGGGTCACCCAGGCGGAGACACAGCTGGCTTCCCTTTTTCATGGAAGGGCCACCCACTGTCCTCCTTGGGAACACAGCCCAGCTGGAGGGAGGACTGTGGGGGTCTCCAAGAGCAGAGTTGGGGGAGGGGACCTGGAGCAGGCGCTGAGTCCACCCACCCCATCCCGTGCCGTGCCCACCCTCCCCAAGTCCCTCCCCAGACACAACTGTAGATCTGGGTCCTCCTCTCTTCCCCCGGGCATCAGCCCATCCAGGGAAGGCAGGGGCCACAGGCTCCTAGGGGGCTTGACTCCTGTTCCTGCTGAACTGAGCCAGTCTGTACAAATCAACTGTGTTTCAGCTCAGTAGGCACGGGAGGCAGAGCCCAGGGAAGCCGGGCGGCAGAACAGGCCGGGAGAGGCAGCAGAGCTGGAGGAGATGAGGGCTCCGGGGGGCGGAACTTAGCCACTGTGAACATGACTTGGTGCAGACCCTGCTCACAAGCAGCTAAGCCCTGCTGCCCAGGCCAGACGCAGGCAGCAAGGGCCTCTCTGCCACCTCATCCCCTGGCAGCGTCCTTGGTAGTGGTGGTGGTGGTGGCGGTAGTGCTGATGCTGGTGATGGTGACGGCCCCGGAGATTGGGCTCAGGGTCGATTGGAAATCCCTGGCAATGTGATTTGTGACAGGCAGCAAATCCCATCCCCAGGAACCCCAGCCGGCCATGGCACAGGGGGAGGGAGGCACTGGGCGGGGCCATCAGCTGGTACCTGGGGGAGAGAGCAAAGGAGATATGAGATTTGAGAACATCTGCCCTCCAGGTCCCGACTGCTGCTATCCTCTGGGGCCTGGCAGGGACACCCTCTCCCCACGTGCACCAGCAGCTGCATGGAGAGCGGGACCACCAGGCTGGACTCCTCCGACCCAGCCATGCCCTCTGTCCCAGGCTCAGAGAGGAAGAGATGCCAGGAGAGTCCCAGGCCCAGAGGGGCTGCAGGGACTGCCAGAGCCAGGTCTCCACCTCTCCACTGGCCCATTCCCACCCCTCCTCCCCGTGATCACCACTGAGCCCTGGGCAGGCTAAATGGGGCCATGGGGAGAGGAAGCCGAGGGGGTGGCGGGCAGGCAGTTAAGGAAGTGATCTCACCCCAGCTGGCGCCACTTCCTAGAAGCATGAAGGGTAGGAGGAAACCACCAGGGCCTCCCCCCGTGGTCCCGTCTCCTCGGCAGCCAGGCCTTAGCCTGAGCCACACCAGAGCGGATGCCAGCAGCAGACACCCAGCAATCCATTCTGGGCATGCATATCCCAGAGCACCAAACCCAGGCTCGAAGTGCAAAGCCCCACTCAGCTGTTTCCCAAAGGCCCACCAAGCCTCACTTTCCCCATCTGTACAATGGAGCCAAGGGCTTTTATCTACCTTGTAGCACAATAAGGTTTCACCAAGAGTGTGTATGCCCTTCAGCAAGTGTTTGGCATCAGAACTGCTCACAGAATTTGTGGGGCTACCCGCAACATGAAAACACAGGGCCCCTCGTTTGGAAATTAAGAATTTCAAGACATCAACGGCACAGCATTTAAACCAAGCTCTAGCCCTAGCCAGTTTGGCTCAGTGGAAAGAGCGTTGGCCTGCGGACCAAAAGATCCAGGGCTCAATTCTGGTCAAGGGCATGTACCTCGGTTGCAGGCTCTTCCCTGGCCCCGGCCCTGGTCTGGTTTCGTGCAGGAGGCAACCAATCGATGTGTTTCTCTCTCATCGATATTTCTCTCTGTCTCTCCCTCTCCCACTCTCTCTTAAAAAAAAAAAAAAAAGAAAAAGAAAATCAATGGAAAAAATATCCTCGGATGACAAAATAAACCAAGCTCCAGGTTCTTTGAGATGGGGGGTGGGGGGTAAGACTAGTTCTGTGTTCAGTAAATGGGCTCCGTGGCTAGGAGATTCCAACGCTAGAGCCAGGCTGGTGGGATTTGATCCCAGGCTCTGCAGCTTCCTAGCTGGGTGACTCTGGGTAGGTCACTCAACCTCTCTGGATTTTCACTGCACAGGAGGGATACTGCGGTGGTAAGGATCCCATGAGTGCTCTGTGTAATTTGGATGGGGCTACACTGTCATCACAGACCAGACAGAAACAGGAAGGAAGATGGAAATGAGGACACCGCACAGGGGTAGGACCACCGCACCCAGACCTGGTGGTGTCCACCCCTGGGGGACAGGCTCTGTCACACCCCCAGTCTCCCCACAGACACACACACATACACGAGTCACCCACTTTTCCATTGGGCCCAGTCCAACCCTGTCTCCTCAGGGCCTGGGGGCACCAACCAGCCACAGAGAAGGCCTCGAAGGGCGGCCAGCCTCCCTGGGCCTCCTCCGGAAGTGAGACAGCACAATCGTGTCCCAGGGACGAGAACGGGAAGGGCGGCCATTTGGCCAGGCCTGTTTCCTGTGGGGTTTCCCCTGTACAGAGCCCCGGGATGGGGCCAAGGCCACTCCCCATCCTCACAGCCACAAAAGGCCTGGGTCTCTCATGAAGGGGACACTACGAGGCAGGTGCCCAGGAGCCAGGGCCCCCGCTCCCAATGGCTGACCTCTCAGGCTCATGGGTGACGGTGTCCAGGGAGGGCCGAGCTCCTGGCAGCTGAAGGCATGAGGGGAGGGTGGGCCCTGGGCCGGAGGAGCGAAGCAGGCCCCAGGCCTCACAGATGGATGCACGTGTGCCTGAGAATGCGCTGCAGACGGGGCGTGGAGGCATGAGACACAGGCAAGCATCTTGTCGCCCCCACCACCACTCTGTGTTCCAAGAATGAATATGGGCCACTTCCGCCAGGGGCGCCACCACTGCCGCCGCCCCCAAGCCTGGTCCCCAAATACTTTCCACCCTCTCTCTCAGAGCAGCTGGGATCGGAAAATACCAAGGGCTGCAGGCCCCGCCCTGTCCGCCGCCACCGCCCGCCCTCCCAGCCTGTCACTAACGCTTTGCCTAATGGGCCCAGACTCTCCGCAGAGGCTCTCTGGCTAGGGCCCCAGAGCCAGCCGCCAACCTGGGCTGCCCAGCCAAGGGCCGCCTGACCACCAGCCCCCCGCCCCTTACCCCCATCCCAACACTGAGACCATAACAACACTCACAACACAACGGGCAGCCCTCAGAGGCTGGCACCAGGGTGGAGGAAGGCAGGGCACAGTCAAGTGGGTGGGCCCTGCTGCCCACCCAGGGCTGGGGGAAGGGGGCGGGCTCAGGAAGGGGTGAGTAAGTGAGGACTGAATCACTTGTTATAAATAGGGGAACCATGGAAGTCACATCCCAGCCCCCATTGCGCCCGGCCACACCAAACCAAACTGCAACTCCTGCCTTAAACTTTCATCTCCCCCAGACCAGTCGCGGCATTGCCAGGGGCGGGCACCCTAACATCCACACGGTGAGCCCTGAAGGGCATCCTATGCCAGGTCCACCTCTGCCTTATCCTCAGATAGGCCCATGTCCCAGCCTTGGTCGGCCTTTTTGGGGTCGCTGGCCTCAAGGGCAGTCACTGGCTTCCACGCCCTGTCCTCCTCCCATAATTGCCAGACCCAAGACTTGGGGTCCCCTGGCTCCCCAAGGCATTCTCAGGGTGGGTGACCACAGCCTTGGATTGTCACACCAGACCCAGGCCAGGGGGAGGCCGGGAAGCCGAGGGGCTCAGCATCTCAGAGTTGAGTCCCTCGCCCCTCAACACCCAGGCCCCCCATCCCAGACCACCCAGGCCTGCTCTGCCCAGAGCCACAGCTCGGTGACCACACCCAGGGTGGCGCCAGCTCCAGCACCCTGGGGCAAGGCGCCGCTGGAGCATGACTCAGCCGTGCCCAGCATGGCGGCGTCCTTGTCTGCCCGAGGATTCTCACACACCCACGCCTGCTGCCCTCTGCGTCCGTCCTTCCTGGGTGACCAGCCTTCCCCAGACACACCTCCGTGTCCAGCCAGGACACCTGGTGACAGAAGAGAAGGTGGCCAGAGCGCCCCCAAAGGGATTTGACGGTGGGCACCTGGACAGGGACAGGCCCACACTTCTCCCCGCTCCTTTTCCCAATGCTCCTCGCTTACAGATAGAGAAACTGAGGCCCAGAGGCATTCCGAGGCAAGCCCAAGGTCACCCTGTAGATCTAAGGAAAAGCCTGGCCTGATCCTGCCATAAAGCGCACCCAACGTGGGAAAGGGCCAGACCGAGGGACAGGAAGGCGTTCTCTTCAGAAGGCCCAGGGTTCCTGGCAGGATTATTCGTCTTGAATATTCTACCCCACCCAGCCTCCAAGGTGAAGGGCGAACTCTGAAGAGTGTGTTAAGACCTATCAAAGCGCCACCTGGCCCATGGTGACCTGGTCATCCCACTGCACCACGAGGCCAGTTACCCCGAGACCCCCTGGGATGGGGGCCTGCCCCACAGCTGCGGCTTGCACGCATCTGGCCTCCACTTACAACAGGCAGGGTTGGTACGGGGTCCCTGGGAGGACCCGTGGAGCATCCACCTCTGCTGGCTCTTTTCAGTGAGCAAGGGTCTGCAGAGGCCTGGAGACTGGGCCAGCACGGACAGGCCCGACACCCCTGGACACACCCTGTCACGCATGTGCTCCGCGTGCCACCTCCAGGCCAGGCTGGCAGCTATGTTAGGCCCCCACTAGGCCCACGGACAAGGCCCGCCAGTTAGGGTCTTGAGGGGGCTCTCAGAACACCTTGCAAGGGCGGAGGGCAGTGGGTGCCCCCCTGGGCGCTCAGACAGAGCTGGCACCAGGCCCCAGGACAGCAGCGTGTGAACACATGCACAGGGCTGGCCCGAGCACGGTGCGTGGGCGATCGGCCTGGGTGTGTCCCACATCACCTCGCCTTTAAGCCTGGGCACCTGTCGGGTACTGCCCTCCAGCTCAGGCGGGCATGGGCATGGCTGCCAGAGGACACCTCTTATGCCAGGAGTCCCACACACCCCAGCCTCACCCTCATATCCCACCCGTCATGGGTGGGCATCTGATTGGGGCTGGAGCAGAAGGGGACAGGTGACACGGAGCCAGATACACCTCCAAGACATTCGGGAAGCCACTGGGTCTGGGCTTGTCTGGGCCGCACAGCAAAGTCAGTGTAGGCTTTGGTGGCGGTCAAGTCCTGTGCTGGGGTTAGAGGTCAGCCTCCGGCTAGGATCGGGGGTCTGGATTCAGTCTGGGCCTTTCACCCTCCTCCTGCAGGGCAAGGGTTCAGGGACCCCAAAATGCAGAGGGTTGGAGAGCCAGCTGTCCAGAAATCTCCCAAACCTGACCCCTTTCTATGCAACCCTGAGTGAGCCCTTCTCTCCTGGGCCAGGAGGAGCGAGGAGGAGCCAGGAGAAGGGGAGAGGGGTCCCCCAAGCCCCGCTGCACTGCTGGCCCCTATAAGGCCTCCGCGATGGAAGGTCTTTCCTGCATTCACCGACTGACATGTCAAGAACCTGAACCGCTGTCACGCGATCCCATCCACACAACTCCAGCCGACCTCCACCCACTCCTCCAGCTCCATGCCCACCAAGTCCAGGAACACCTCCAGGCGGCGCGGATCCCTCTCCCTACCCCCACCCAAGCCCGGCACGTCCTCCCACCCCGTTGCCAGCCCTCTGCCCACCTAGACCTGCCCCAGTCGCCTGGGGACCCGCCCTCCCCACCAGCTCTGATGGGTCTCCTAGGGCGGGGGAGGTGGGGGGGCCCCAAGGGGCCCCGGGGGAGAGGATTAAGGCAGGGCCGCCCTTCTCCCGCTCCGTAGGGGGCGCCCCAGGACTCCGCCGC